GTATTAGTATTTAGTATTTAGTATTAGTATTAGTATTAGTATTAGTATTAGTATCAGTATTAGTATTAGTAGTAGTAGTAGTAGCAGCAGCAGCAGCAGCAGTAGCAGCAACGCAGCAGGAACTGATCTGAACTGAACACGGCAAGTAAAACTTAGACAAGCTCCAATCCGGTGCCTCCAAACTCGAAAATCTCGCCCCAGTGAGGGTTCGACTGTCTGGCTTCTGACTTAGGTTCGAAAAGCGAACTTCAACATCTCGTGCCCTTTACACGAAGCACAAGCCGTCTAGCATGTGGCCGTCGCTTTCCGTGACGTCTCGCACTTTGGCCGGCAGACTCTGTACCCTAACTTAACCTATAGGTCTGAACATCGGGGTGGTACTACGGTATCCGTCGGGCGGCCCCGGCAATCTTCAATCCGATCAGTCCTGGGAGTGACATGAAATGCGGACAGACCCAGGGAACAAGACAGTTTTGGAGCCACAGCCACAGCTTGTGTACAGCTTGCAAGCCAAGCCCGAGACTCTCGGGCACCAGAGGTGCCAGGATCTGGAACGCGCGGCTGTGAGCTTCGAGCCCCCTCCTTTCCAACTCACCAGGGACAAGCGATGTACTCTTGTGGCACCTGGCACCTCACAGCGAAGCTGTGGTGGCAGAGCTGGATTGATTCGAACTAAGATATGCCAAGGTATGCCAAGATATGCCGAAAAAGGCCAAGCAGCACAGAGGCTCTTTGGTTTCTATCCGGACCACCCGCACGCAGAGCAAGCCCAATTGCCATAACGCTGACTTGGAAAATATTGTCTGATCTCACGTCAATGTGGAAAAGGCTCCGGGTTGCCTTGGCTGCGAGGGCATCAGCTTGCTGATCTTTGTCCTGAGGCACAAGGAATAAGAAAATCTTAGCACACGGGACTGGAGGCCACACCCTTGACTGGAGAGACTGAGTGATGCACTAATTTCTGCAGGATCTCGATCGTGGCATCCACGCCCTGGCATCGATGTTTTGGATAAGGACAAACCTAGGGAAGCTTGGGAATACGGCTGTAGCCGAATCGTGGGCAATTGCCTTGGATTCGAAACTGCCTTGGGTTTGAGAAGACATCGGCGCTTGTACGCAGACCCTTGTACGTCTCCCAAATCCTGAGGACCCGCCTCAGGGTCCAGGCGACGTCTCCGCTTGGAGGCCTGCCGCAGCTCCTGCGAAAGACTTGGATCGGAGAAGAAAGTTTGTTGCACCGCATGTGACGGACACGACGGACAAATCACAGGCGACCGAAAACTGGCAAGTAGAGGAGCCGCACAAAAAATAAATGAAAGGCCAGCAGGACAGAAGGACGACATGTTGAGCCTTGTCGCTGGGTTCTGCCGCTGCCACCGAAGCCATGGCATGCTTTGCGTTCAACAGGACATCTCCAAGAGGTTTGGATGCCTACACTGACGACATGTCCAAGCGGATAGGATGCCTACACTCAGGAGCACCTCAAAAAAAAGCTGTGACCGTGATTGTTGCTTGTTGCTGCATGAACCGTTTGGTGCGCATACCGGGCGTCTTGGTGCGCAGAGCGGGGCTTGGTGCGCGCTTCGGGCTGCGATGCCTGAACAACTAGAATAACTAGAATAGAGTTTGGGTACATTCTACCGTAATTGCAGCAGAGACCCTCATTTTAACCAAAAGTTGGAAAGGAGCGATAAGGGCGTTCTCCTGAACATCTGCGGCACACAATACTGCAGCTGTCTAAGCTGACGACTTACTTCTCAACTCGCTCAAAATCCTCCCTAAACCCTGAAACCCGACACTCCAAGCCTAAACCCCAAACCCTAAACCCTACACCCGGAACCTGAAACCATCCGCTCCCGGCAGAACCTTCGAGACTCCGGATCAGCGGCGCGTTCCTGTGCAAGAGGAGCCGTTCAAGTGTTTGAAGGTGTCGCATGGGGCCTTCAGCTTTAGGGTTTTAGGTAAGGTTTCGGGCTTTCGGGTTTATGGTTTCGGGTGTTTTTGGTTTTTGGGTTTTAGAGTACCATCAGTTTTAGGCTTTCGGGTGTAGCAAGGTTTTAGGGCTTGGGGTTTAGGGCTTCGGGTGTAGTATGCAGGCCTTAGCAATTGGATCGAAGTCCTGCGGGTATCCTGTGATTAATTGCTATGACCAGATAGGGGGAAGAGGGAATAGGAATAACAATGGGGGTCGGAGCCTTTCACAGAGGCCTTCATACATGGCTAAGCGCGTTATTGGGGTTGGCTTTTCACAAGGGCGATGCGATTTCAGTGGATTTGGGGTTTTGGGTACCCCGAAGGGTTTAGGGTGCAGAGTGGCCGAAGCTCTGACCCGCAAAATCTCACAATGGGGCCTCTCTGACACTTAGAACCGGATGTAAGGATTCAGTATGTATGCAAAGTGTTACTACGCATGTTCGGAATGGTTGGATGCGATGCTTGCGGTTTGGGGCCCTACACCCTAAACCCTAAACCCTACACCCTACACCCTAAACCCTAAACCCTAAAATCTAAACCCTAAGCCCAAGAGCTCTGGCTTGTCAGGCTCCACCAGCAGCCAAATTCTCAATGCCTTGTGGGCTCAATGAGCCCACTCACTGTCCGACATACAGCCGAGGAGCCAGCCAAACCACAGCCGCCCGCCAACGCGCACCTCAACAGCGAGTCCATATTGGGGGTTTCCGAGAATAGGGGGACCCTAATATAGTACCCCAAATAGTAGGATCCTGCTTATAAGGACCCCAAAATAGGGTACCCCCTTTTTTCAGAAACCCCCATATGCCGTAATATGGGGATCTTACTAGTTAGGAGGTCGGCCTTACCGCCTTGAGGCGTGGACCCAGAAACCTGAACGGAAAACCCGAGCCCTGCATCCTAAATGGCATCTATGGACTGTGCGATTTAGGGTTTAGCGTTCGGACGGAGAGGAAACAAGTAGGACGATTCACTCAGCAAGCAGTTTGGCAAATGCGGTTCGCGAAGCAACAAGCACGATTGTTGTGACGGAGTCTAATTGCAGTGCAGAATTCGGATATCCAGTGCTGTTCATATTTATCAATGGCAGCAAATTGTGAGCACACTATGATAACTGCACGTAAGGTTCGCAGCCATTGCTAGAAAGCCTCATTGCTGTTGCTTGATCTGAAAACAATACGACCACCTTCTCCACCAGCGTGAGCACGGTGAGGCACTGGTCGTCGGGCTCCCTCAGCACAGCATCGGAGAGTCGAGCTCACTATAGGTAACCATGAACAGAATATACCCACACCCCTGCAAGACAAGCAATAGACACGACCAGCCCTAAACCCCCTTGTTCCACTCTGCAGCACATGGGGTCTCATGATTCTTGGTCGTCCCGTGGAAGCTTCTTGAGGCACTCAGGGGATCGTAATCTAGGGGCCCTGAACCTGAAGGGACAGTATGGGCAATTTCTAGACTATAGAATCTAGAGTAGTTTCAGGGATTCGACATCAGAGACCCTGTAATCTGTAACGGTATACGTGCAAAGTCAGGATTTAGGGCCGAGGTACGGCCAACTTGAATCTAGCCTATGGCCCGAAACCCTAAGACCTTAAACCCCATTGACAAAAAAAAAGTACTAAATCTCCAACAGAGCCCTGAAAACCATAAAAACCCTAGAACCCGAAAACATCCACAGCCCCTAAACCCTAAACTCTACACAAAGGCGTTCAGGGTTTAGGGTTTAAAGCTTAGGGTTAAGGGTTTTGGGTTTAGGGGCCATGATGATTAGAATGAGGCTCCTTTCCAGCGTTCAATTAAGGGCAAAGAAACCACAAACCCTTAACGTAACCCTGAAACCTCTAAGCCCCAGACCCTTAAACCCGTACAGAATGCCTAGAAAGCTTTACAAAAACAAACGCAGCTTGGGGGCAGATGCATTAGCGCGGCGTAGGAGATCACCGCATCGAGGGTGTCATCCGAGATCCAGGAGAGAAAGCCTGGCAGTCGTTGAAGCCGTTTATATGGTCAGAGTTTTAGGGTTTCGGGTCAAGGCCCTAGGAAGTCTTACAGGGTCATCTAGGGTTCTCGGCCGCTTTTTGTCAGCAGTTCTGTAAGATGTTCTACGGCGCACGGTGTTGGGTGTAGGGGTATGAAAGGAGTCTTAGCTCTCGGAGTTTTGGAGCCTGGCCTGCAAAGTCCATGACGACTACGACTGCTTCCCCGAGGCCATCTTATCCTCAGAGGGCTCTTATAAAGTCTTTCGGGGAGCCTTATAGAACCCCAAATCCGTTTACAACCACTTACACACTTGGGTTCTGATGCAACCAGGGTCAGGAGCGAAAAGTCTGGGTTTTTTGGGCTATCCTGCATTCTATACAAATACCAAGTCCAAAAGCATTGGTCAAGTATAGCACAACAAAACCCAGATCCAACCACGTACCTCCGTCTTCCAAAGAACAGTGACATGTCCTCAAACTATGCTTGAGAGATATGGAACGTGGTCTTTCACACCAATGAATGGCCGCTCATTTGACCCAGCAACTTAACATCCCCTAGGAGCCTTCTGTCATTCATATCAACCCTATAAACCAGCTTATGAACCCTATCTCGTAAATTGAAAAGAGCATCGGAGCAGGGATGTTGGAAGTCTCCTAAAACCCAAGATCCGAGGCATCTCTGACCTGCTGCTCAGGGTTTATGGTATGGCCGTTGCTTAAGCCTTCAGCCTTTTCGGGTGTAGGGCCTTTAGGGTTTAGGGTGCAACCTCTCTTGAAGTTTGCGACTTGGGTCCTCCTGTTGGAACCCTAAACCCCGCTCCGACCGCGCGTCCTGCCGCGCACCCATAACAAGACCAAGTATGTTGAGAAGTAGGAAACCCTCGTAAATACCGTATAAATCGTGTTTGCGACGGCTATGATGATTTCTGCAGAACTACATCCTAATGCATCACGTCTCGGGCGGGGTGCCGTTATGAGCAGTGTGTTCTTAAGCTGCGCGTCCCCTCAGCTGCACGTATCCCGCAATCAACTGTTGTGATTGCGCCAAAGTGCAGCCCTTATGTCAACAACACAATCTTGTACATGCTGCTGCGCACGGTTGGGACATGGATGCTCTGTGGGAAGGGATGGAGTCTGTGTGGATGTTATCATGGTTGGGACGTGGATGCGCTGCGGGAGGGGATCTACATTACGAGGGCGACAGAGTTTGCATCCTAGGCGGCAGCATCACGCGGCAAAACGGGGTTGTCTGCATGTCGTGTTCTGCGGCGCAATGTCCGGTCCGAGTGCTAAACCCTAAACCCTCAACCCCTAAACCCCTAAACCCTAAACCCCTAAACCTGGAGACCCTACACTCTGAACTCCGGGACAGGCCTCGAGTCCCAAAAAATCCGGGCCCAAAAGAATGTCAGCCTTCACCCTGAACCCGAAGCCCTGAGCCCCTAAACCCTAAACTAAACCCTTTAAACCCTGGACCCTAAACCCTGCCGAAACCCTGAACCAGGAGTCCGAGGCCCTGAGCGGCATTCAGGATTCAGCTGAACCAACCCTGAACCCGAAACCCAAACTATGCTAAAGCCAAGCCCTCAACCCCAATCCTTAACTGAACCCTAAACCCTAAAGCGAGTTAACTCTCAGCTGGCGTAATTCGGACAAGCTGCGGCCATCCATTTGGCAGAAGATCCCCATGGAGTGCTCCCGTGCCCATCTGAGTAGGGTTTTGGGGTTTTGGGGTGTTGGGTTTGGGGGTTTCTGGATCTAGTGGGTAGGGGTTTAGGGTTGAGGAGTAATGGTTGATGAGCGTACGGGTTCTGGGCTCGAGATGCTGAAATGCCGATTAGGGCTTGTGGGCTTACGCTTTGTGCTAAGATCCCACACACTGTAACAAAACAACAGTACTTATGAAACAGGAGTTATAGACCTCGAAAGCAAAGCCACGCCAAGGAAAGCAAGTGCCTGATGTTGTCTGGCACGATGTCAATCCCGACCTCCGGCTGTTGAATGTGCAGGGCTTGAGGTTAAGTATAGGGCTTAAGGTTTAGATCTTCTGAAAAGCTTCCCAATCAGGTAACCCTAAACCCTAAACCCTAAATCTAAACCCTAAATAGTTCAGGGCTGGAACGGCTTGAGGGTCTAGAGCTCATGGCTCGAGGAACGGAAGAAGGATTCCAGGAATCTCGGGGTTCGTGTTTAGGGTAGTTCAGAGTTTCGGGTTTAGGGTTCAGGGTTTAGGGTTTGGAGTTTAGGGTTTCGGGTTTAGGGTGTAGGGTTTCAGGTTTCGGGTTTAGGATCTTCATGGTGGAAAAATCGACGGATGCAAAGTGTGGTACGACGGTCTGCTGCCTAGGTAAGGCTTAAGGGGATTACGGTTTAGGGCAGAGGCCGAGAACTCTTGAAAAATGGCTGCCGGACCATTCTAAGGATTACTCCAACCGACGGGATGACGGCAATCGCCTAATCCCTGAACCCTTCACGGGCCAAAAAAACACAACGACGAACATGGCGACGGGCTCAAGGATGTAGGGCTCTTAGAGTTCAGCACTTCTTGGGTTTAGGGTTTAGGGTTTAGGGTTTAGGGTTCAGGGTTTTGGGTTTAGGGAGAGTTGGGGGCTAGGCTTCAGATTCCATTTTCTGCCGCCGAACCCGGGTCGGGATAGCCTGGACCGAAAACCGATAACTTGGCAAGACCCTGAGCCCCCTGAGCCCCCTGAACCCTGAACCCTGAAACCCTAAACCGTCTGAACCCCTAAACCTCGGAAACCCCAACAAAAAAAAATCCCTAGGCCCCTGGTCGCTACAGTATCTTCAGACCGGGGCTTTTCCTAAAGAGTGGCCAAGAAGCGCCCCGGAGGTCGTAGAGCTGCGCAGCCCAGGTGAGCTTATGTCCACAGCCTCTAGGGCTCTAGGGTCTAAGGTTTAGGGTTTACGGTTTAGGGTCTGTGAGGGTTTAAGGTTAAGGGTTTAGGGTTTAGGGTTAGGGTTTCGGGCTCTGAGAGACCTTAACACTAAACCGAAGCCCTAAGCCCCAAACCCTACGAAAAGAATAGCCAGCGGATTCTCAGGCAGGGGCCTTGAATAGTTTCAATAGGGCGTTGGCCCTAGAGTTTTATCAGGGAAGACTCAGGAGTCGTTATGGTTTTTATATGGTTTGAAAGAAGAGTGATAAGAAGGAGCCCGAAAGACTCTAGCATTGGTATTTACTTAAGCTCCTATACTGCTGGGACTACCAGAGGTGACCTGCGCCCCAGTCGAGCACCAGTGCTCCAGGCGGAAGCTGCAAGCGCTCCATGATCACTACGAAGACGCACCTGGGTAGTTCTCTGAATTAGGGTCCTTTTTTACAAGGGTGCCGGTGAAACGAGAAGGAACCCTGGTTTAGAGAACTACCCACCTCTGCCCTTGCTGGGGTTAAGGGGCTTTCGGGTTCAGGGCTATTGGTTTACGTAACTTAGGATACTATGATGTACAGAATGGCTCGACCCCGATCTGCACCCTAAACAAGATGCTTTCCCTTCTTGGGGCAGCTCAAACTTGAAAGACGCGCTGGGCCGCTCCTAGAGTCGAGATTCTTTCACGAGGCTTTGATAGATCATGATAGGAAGCCCTCCATTCGTTTGAGGCTTAGGGGCTTGGGCTGAGGGTTAGGGTTTAGGGCTTAGGGCTTAATTATAGGGTTTAGGGTTTAGGGCTTTGGGTTTAGGGGAGGGAGGAATACTATATCGTGAGGTATATTGTTGTAGTTAGGGAGCTTGAGTTAAGATACCGCGAGCTGTGCAGGGAGAATGCAAAGCATGCTCTCGTTATTGTGGTACCATGATCTAAGTTCTAGTTTTATGAACACCCTATATAAGCCCCAAAACATAAAACGCCCTAAGCAAAATCCTTAAACAAGAAACCCGATATTTTTTTTTGCTTGGAGACTGGGGCTCAGAACCCTCAAGCATCACGAGGCTCCGGGCTTGAGGCTTTGACTTCGACATCAGCTTTCGGCTCGAGTATAGGGGCAGAAAGGAGGTTTAGGGTTAGGGCCTAGGTTGTAGGGTTTGGGGTTTAGGCATCAGGGTTAAGGATCGGGTCTTGGGGATGTGGCTTTTGGGGGGTACCTCTACTATAGGGGCCTTTATGCTTAGGCCGACGTCTCTTGAAATATTAAACTATCACTACATTCACTACATAGGGCTGTGAAGAAATACTGTCACTAGTTCCTGTCGTGCGACGTCTTGGAGGCGGTTGCGTTGAACTCGAGCTTGGCTAAACCGCCCTTACGCCTTAGAACATAGGCAAGTATCGAGTTTCTATAGTCTCTCTGGATCCTGCCAAAAAATTGCGGCCCCCAAAAGCCTAAAGGAGCTCAAACACCCAGCGCCCAGCAAACATAGAAGCCCCTGAATGATGCCTTCTTGGCACCTTCGCAAGCTCCTAAACCCTAAACCCTAAGCCCTATCGGCCCTAAACCCTAAACTTTTAGGGCTGCGCCCTTGTGTGCCAGCGCAGCATTCTGTGGCTTTTGCTGTCAGAAGCAACGTCAGTTGAAATTCAACTCATTTTCTTAAACCTTTAATCAGCCAGCACCAGCCAAGCAAATTTGTTTCGATTACTACGTTTGTGTGAACACGGAGGACCTGTCGGCTTTCGTGGGGAGGATTTGGGCTCTCGTGGGGATTTGGGCTTTCGCGGAGAAAGATTCGGGCCTTCCTGGGGAGGATTCGGGTTCTCGTGGGGAAGGATTCGAACTTTGGGGAAGGATTCGGGCTTTCGTGAGGAGGATTTTGGGTTTTCGTGTGACGGAATTGGCTTTGTGCTTCCAAAACTGCAGAAAACTGAAATGCATTGAATGACGTTTACAAAAGGTTTAAGTAAATTGAACAATTTTGCAAATCACATGACCCGATTCCATTAAAAGAGACGCAGGAGGGAAGGGGGAGGAGGAGGCGGCGAAGCCTGAAAGGGCTCGTCACTCTGATGTATGCAGACTGAGACATGAGTGCACTTGCAAGCTTTGGAAAACTGAGCTCCCACAACTTAGCTCGCAGCAGACGACTGTTTCGATCATTGGTCGAGGTCGTCAAAATACCTGCTGCGGCACGGCGACAGAACCAATACGACTCTTAGAGCGCACAGACATGTCCAGGCACTTCTTCCACTCTACATGAGCCCAGAGCATCTGTCAATTAGGACATCGGAAGATCCGCCTCAGTAAAGGTCAGTCAGGCAAATAAAATGTCAACGCATCGGTCTGTTCGCGGCTTAGGAAATGGTCACTTCCTTTTTGGGTGATAAACTAAGTCGCGATTTGAGCACATTTGCCGAACACATGCCCGGCAGCAAACAGCAACTTGCCCTTGACGGAGAGCATCTGCTTGTTGTCGCAGCAGCGGGTCTCCGCGCAACGACGAATAAGTTCCTCGATGGATTCAATGCGTCCTTCTTTGTTGCGGACTAGCATGTCACCCTTGAAAGCTTTCTCAAAGGCAATGCAGGCCCCTAAACATGTTGAACGAAGTCGCAAACGGAAGAGCTTTGGCGCCTTGTGCAATCCTCCACCCAAGCAGGTCCAGTACTGCCTCGGCCGTCCACCTGGCTGATTCTTGCAGAGGCTCCAGCTCCAGTTCACGATGGTCGTCCAATGGCAGCTTGCCCGGACCAGGAGTTGCAAAGCCGGCCAGCTGGACGTGGGCTTCACGACCCGCAGCCTGGGGCTGGTTAAGAGTAACTCGCCCGCAGCCCGGCAAGGGCTCCTTCTGAAGCCCTCGGATCAGGAAACAAACCAAAGATTCGTGCGCAGCAAAGGACATGTACCCTCCGAGCTCATACGCGATGCCCCGGCGCCTAAGAGCCTGAAACACCTCCAGCTCCGTATCCACTTTGGTCCTCAAGGAGTCATGCGAGAGTATTGCTTTCAGTACCCCCGCACGATCCGGCCTCCTGGTGCCAGGTAGTCACTCGGCACAAATCAATGTAGCGGACCCTCTGATCCTCCACACATTGACACACCTTGTTTACCACCGCGTGCGATGGCTCGAGGCTATCCTCAATCCGCAGCGGAAGGACTTTGGCTTGCAAGGTATCGATCCGGCTGGCGATCCCGGCCGGGGGGAGTTTCCTAGGAACGTCACTCTCGGTGGCTTCGGTTTGTCTCTTGAGCTCCGCAGCAGTGAGACTGCAACTCTCAAAATGCAGCCGCCTCAGTGCCGCCGCCGATGCATGATCTGCACTTCCCAAGATTGCAGTAATCACATCACGCACGAAGATGCTGTCACCTCCCTGCCCCGGAACCACTGCAGCGGAAAAAGCAAAGTTGGCATACGTCCCCCAGCCCTTGTCCCCGTGGCCGCCCTTTCAGACAAGCCAACTTTGGCACATCTCGCCGCAAAGACAGCTTCACTATCTACCACCGACATCGGAGCAACAGCCCAAACTGCACAACGAAACATGCGGCATGCCGGGTAGAAAACACGTGGCTGGCACAAAAGAAAATCATGCACTCGCAAATGAAGACACCAGCACTCACCTTTGAACGCACCAGTCTCACCGCTCGGACCAGCACTTCGCACATTTGCAAGGCTCGTAAAGGGAGCACTCCTCAGTCTCCTTATAATTGGCATTCGCCTGTCTCCCACGAAGAAAACAGTCGCTTCTCTCGCAGAGTCAGGGTTCAAAACTCGCACTCTATGCAAGACACCACTAACGACATGCCGAAAGAAAGCTCCTACCTGCGCATCGGCCTCGCCCTCGCTAGCCATCCGCGGCGTCACGAAGAGGACTCTCCCCGGGTCGCTTGCAGAGCCATCCCGGTGGTCTTTTGAGCCTTGGGCCCCTGCGTTGAGTGCTGTCTCGACGTGCGTCGTTGCTCCCGGCATTGGTGGCAGGCGAGACCTTGCGTCCCTGCGAGCCGGAGTGAGATACAACGGACACCCGGGACCGCCACTCCGCGACACGTCTCTCGCTAGCAGGCTCGAGGTGCTAACCAAGGTGCTCCAGGTTCGGCTTGTGCATGGGTGAAGACTCTGCTTCGAGCTACACCTACAGCACAGAGTTCGAGTCTGACTTTGGACAAATTGTCCCCGAGGAGACTGAAGACCCTGGACCTGTGCGAATTTTTTTCTCAGGTCCTTCCACGAGCCGCATCTCCTCTAAACTCTGGCCGTTAGCGAAAGGTGGCAGCGTTCCATCTTGCTGCGCCCGGGAATCACAGTCTGGGAAGCATGTTGGGGCTCGCTTTCGGTTTGCCATCGGCTCTTATTGTACACCGAGCAGCGTCTTCGGCTGGCTTTTGCACTTGGTAACCACGTTTGATTTACAGGTGCATCTGCGCTGCACTTCACCTTGGTAGGCAAGCTCCCGCCTCTTACAGTTTGCAGCCTTACAGATTTTAAATCGGTCTTCGAGAGATGAAGGGGGATGGACAGGGAAGGACCGATTTGGGTCACTTGCCTTTATCCCTTCGGGCAGATGCCTGGTTGGGCTCTTCGGGCTCGCGTGAAAAGGCCTCGTCTGGCCTGGGAGAGCGGGCCTCTAAGGAACATCTTGAGTGATGCTAGCAGCTCCGTTTTCCCGGCTCCAGCATGGCCTGTCATGCCACCTCCGGCGGTTCAGGACTCGGACACTGACGGCAAGAGCTGGTCCAATTTTACACAGCCTCTCCGAGGGGCTCAGTCTGCCAAGTGGCTAAAGTCTGCTTTGCACAGTGCCTCTTGGGTAGATGTTCTGGATCACAAGAGATCAGCGGCTTTGGAAAGGTGGAAGGTCCTCGTCTTGTCCTCGGGGGAAGCTACTTCTTTAGGGAGGGCGATTCTTGCAGCTCAGAAGGCTAAGGACCCTTCGGCGGTTGATGCTTCCACTTCCGATGCCTCCCACCGCAAAGCGACTTCGACTTTGAGGACTCGGGCGGCCTCCTGATGCTTTGTCGTTGGAGGGCGGCGGAAAGCGGGGTCGCAATCTGCTGGAGTCTTCCCTTTGGACGAGCAGACAGTATATGATTATGTGGTCCACCGTCGGAGGACCAAGGCGCCTAGGAGCCGGGCACCTCGTTTTCTTGAAGCGCTGGGTTTTCGAAAGGCGTCCTTGGAGCAGACGTTCAAGTTATTCTTGATTCCTCGCGTGTCCGGGGAGCAGGCAAGGGCACTTCGGACGTATAGTGGTGAAGAAGGCACCCGCTCTCACTTGCGCTCAGGTGAGATTTCTTGAATGGTTTGACGAGAGCGTGTTCGTGGGACATGTTTGCTTCTGCGTTCATGCTCGACTGCGCTGGGGAGACTCGCAGCATTGTGCTTTTGAGCCTTTCGTTGATATGAGCGACGGCAGGGGCTTCGTGGAGGCTCACAAGACAGCCCAACGTACTGCTGTGATGAGGAACCGCCTGCTGCCTGCTGTGGGGATCACACCTGGAATTTCCGGGCAGGATTGGGCCTCGCTCTGGCTGGATCGAGAAGGTCTTGTTGCGGCGCAAGGTGAGCCCACCATGCCGGCTCCCACGGCGGGAGGCCGCTGGGCAAGGATCCTTCTTTCCTCAGACGAGGCGGCCACGTGGTTGGGAGAGATCTTCCGCTTGTATGACATTGATCCTTTGGGTCCTGGTGGAGGCACTAGGTCATTCAAGCCGACCATTTTATCGTGGATGACAAAGGCTGGGGCTCCGCAAAGATTGCAGCGGCCGGCTGGATATCACGTGGAGCCAGGCGCGAAGAACCCCCTTTTGGTCGAGGTCTGTGCGATCCGGACCGAACGCGATCCGGTTGCTGGATCGGCTGCAGGACCCTCGATGATGCTCTCAAGATAGTGACCGAGGACCGAGGACCCGGGTCCTGAGGTGGAGCTGGATCGTCGACAAGACGTTGGTGGCGGCTCCGACGCAGATGCTGAGCAGGGCGGTGGCTGGGATGCAGTGGAGCCAGTGGAGCCGGGGGCCCAGCTTGGTCTGAGCTACCTCCAGAGGGGGGTGCTCTCTGCTTGAAAACATGTCATGTGCAAAACATGCATGAAAAGAGATGTTCCGACATAAAAACTCTTCAGCATGTTCTCACAACATGCATGCAATGTTCTGACATGAAAACTCTTCTGCATGTTCAAACAAACAGTTGAGAAAATTGTTACGCGTTGCACGCGCCACACACGTAAAACTTGCAAGCAAGGACATAAAAGCTTATCACACAAGCGTGAGAAGATCCTTTGGGCGTTCGGGGGGAGGGAATCGGGTTTTCGTAGAGAGACTTTTTGGCTTTCGTGGAGAGGATTTCGGGCGTTCGTGGGGAGGATTTTGAATTTTCATGGGGAGGATTTAAGCTTTCGTGGAGGGGAGGGTCAAGCTTTCATTGGAAAGGGTTTCTGACTTTCGTGGAAGGATTTGGGCTTTCGCGGGAAAAAATTCGTGGGGCTTCGGGCTTTCGTGGGAAGGGATACCAAGCTTTCGGGCTTTCGTGGAGGGCGTTAGGCGCCGCCACGCATCCATTTTCCACCAAATTCAACCAAGCCCAATTGCGAGCAGAAGCATCCCAACGGGCCCAACGAGACTGCGTCTTAGGGCAGCTCCATTAAAGAAGGAGTTGACCTGGGCGCCGAGCGGCGCTGGCGAACCTGAAGCCCTAAACCCTAAACCCGAAGCCCTGAAGGGCCGAGGCACTTGTGCAAGGGCCGAAGGTCCTTGTGCCACTCGGAGGAGGGTTCCTGCGCTGGGCGTTGGGCTCCTAGCTGCTAGGCTGGGTACTGCCCCCATACAGTAACAGTCTATAACCAGGCTACTATTGAGGGCCACATACTATGAATCTTACTCAGCGGGTACTGACAGGGGGCAGTATCCAACTGCTAGGGTGCCAAAGTATGCCAAATAAGTGTGAAACGCTATAAGAAAACCAAACCAAACACTAAATAATAGACTAAACATATCACAAACCCCGAACAAAAAAAAAACTTGCAGAACCCAAATAAAAACCCAACAAAACGATGCTTGAGGACCCTAGACAACATTTTGTCAGTCTTGCTCCAGCCCTCTCAAGCCCCCATAAACCCCCGACCCTAATGGGAAGCTCCCTTGATTTTTGGTTCGATTACTCAGAGTTCAAAACCCTCACCCATAATCCCCAAACCGTTTTAGGGCTCAGGGTTTAAAAACCTTCAGCCGTAATTCCTGAAGCCTAAATAACCAGACCTCTGTGAAGCACCCACCTCCGCAGGCTGCTTCTCCCGGCAAAACGAAACCCTTTAGGGCTCAGGGTTTGGGGACTCTCGCCTCACATCCCTGGCCGTAAGATCCCGTGCCCTGGCGGTAGCCGCGGGATCGCAGACCGTACCTGAGCTTTCTTAGGGTCTTTTTGGGGTTTGGGTTTAGGGTTGAATAGGGTTTGATGCGGTTTACGGTGCTTTCTGTGCTTGATGATGCTTTAAGGGTTCTAAACGGATTGGGTAGGGTTTTGGGTTCGGCTGGGGTTGAGGGATGGGGCTTTTGGGTCGAAGCCAAGACCCTCAAATCAAGGGAATACACCTGCAAGACCCTGAAACCAGCGCTAGCGAAGGGATTTATAAAGAAGTCCCTAAACCCCAAACCGTACATAAAGAAGCCCCTAAGCCCCAAACCGTACATAAAGAAGCCCCTAAGCCCCAAACCGTACATAAAGAAGTCCCTAAGCCCCAAACCCTGAACAGGCAGACGTTCCAGGGCCTTGTGGGTTTTAAGGGCCCGAAGAAGAAGTGCTTCCTGGAGAACCTCTGAATGAACTTTGCAGAAATCCTTATGGAAACCGTAATACTTCATATTAACCTAAACCCCAAACCCCAAACCCCAAACCCTAAACCCTAAACCCGTAAACACGTAAAACCGGAAGGGCTACCATTGGGCTCCCTGGGAAGCCTTCGTAGGCAGCCGGCTTTTCCGCTGCTGACGCCGACCTCGCGCGCCAGGCCTTTGGGCGCAAGTCGAAGAAGGCATCCTTGGGAGAGGATTTAGGGTTCAGGGTTCAGGGTTTAGGGTTTAGGTTTAGGGTCTAGGGTTTAGGGTTCAGGGTTCAGGGTTCAGGGTTTAGGGTTTAGGGTTCAGGGTTGAGGGTTTGGGGTTAAGGGTTTAGGGCTTAGGCTTTAGGGTTTAGGGTTTAGGGTTTAGGGTGTAGGGCTTTCTCTTGGGGGCTTCCTTTGGAGAACAAAAGCCTCTGGGGACCCTCCGAAGGCCTCTAAGGGCTCAATAAAAAAAATAAGGCCCTGAACCGACAGCATCCTCGCAAAGCCTTTCAAAAATCCGTATTTAAAACAAAACTTTATAGGGGTTACACGAAACCCTAAACCCTAAACGCCTTAGAGGACACCCGTAAAGGGAACCTATGATAGAACCCTATAATACCCCTTACAGTTACAGGGGCAGAATGATAGAACCCTGTAGTACCGCTTAAAGGGACGCTGACAGAAACCCTTAGAAGGAAACCTTTGGCTCATGCCTCCTCCTCGGCAGTGGGACAGCGTAGGGTCTCGAACCATTCCTGACACGGGTAGTTCTCTAAATTAGGGTCCGTTGTTAGGCTTTAGGGGTTTAGGGATTAGGGTTAAGGGAATGGCACTGCCTCCGAGGGCTCAGAATTCGCAGAGGGACTACGTCTACGCGACGCTATTTCTAGACGGTTGGGGCAGGTGTCGCTTGGTTTGACGAGGTAGCTTAAGCGTTCTAATAGGAACCATAACAAGTACAAGTCATATGTTTTAATAATCCCTTCAAATTTTGCTACGATAGAAAATGCAGAGCAATCCCTAAGATCACTATAAAGGCAGCAGGTCAGGCTGAGGGTGCAAGGACAAGACTGCCCCATGTTCACCGATGGAACACGGGAGAAAATCGAATCCGCGAGACCCTGCGACCTTGAGCGTGCAAGTGCGATTTAAGGTTTAGGGTTTAGGGTCTAAGTCTAGGAATCTAACAAATATCCCTGCGCACTAGAGTGCACCTTGAAGTGCTCGTATGAAGCATTTGAACTTTAAAATAGAGCCCGATAGAACATCCACCAATCCAGGACCCTCTGGACCCCAGCTGCTAAGTCCTTCGAAACCTAGCCCCTGCGAGTCGTTTTCAAGCTACAACAATACCGAGAGCCCTGAAAAGCCCCAAACCCTAAACCCTACACCCCAAGCCCTAAAGCCTGGGCAAAGTCTGAAAAATCCGTGAGACAAGTTTGGGGTTTGGGGTTCAGGGATTTGATTAGAGCTACCTTTTAAACCCCCTAACCCCCCATCAGAAAACCTGCAAATCCCATCCGAAACCCTAAACCCTAAACCCTAGGCCCTAGACCCTAAACCGTAGGCCCTAGACCCTAAACCCTAAACCCAGAAAACCCACACAGAGACCTCGCCTCCGACTTACTGGGCACTGGCACCGGGGATCCCCCCGCAAGGGTAGCCCAGCCTCGAGGGCGTGAGAGGAGCAGGTTAAAGCTCGATATATCCAGTATGTATGTATGTGTGTATAAATATTACACATATCTGTATGCATGCATGCATGCATGTATGTATGTATGTGTGTGTGTGTGTTTGTGTATGTATGTATGTATGTATGTATGTATGTATGTATGTATGAATGTAGGTATGTATGTATGTACGGATGGATGGATCTATGTATGTATGTACGTACGTACGTGGTTATGTATGTATGTATGTATGTATGTATGTATGTATGTATGAATATATGTATGTAGGTATGTATGTATGGATGTATGTATGTAGGTAGGTATGTATGCATGTATGTAGGTATGTAGGTATGTATGGATGTATGTATGTAGGTATGTATGTATGCATGTATGGATGGATGTATGTATGTGTATGTATGTATGTATGTATGTATGTGTGTGTGTTTGTATGTTTGCAGGTCCAGAAGATGGTGGATGCTTTAGCGCTTCTGGACGACTGCGAGGAGGAGGACGATCATCCTTGTTTG